AAAAATTAATATCTCGAGCTCCTCTGTGCTTCGGAAGGCACGTTAAGCCGTTGGTCCCGGCTGCATCTGCAATCGTGAGCACCCACCAATCCGCATGGATCATGGCCCAATCTCCCTATTCCATCCATAGGGAAGGTCTGTGCCTCAGCAGTGGGGACATTAATAGACTGATGATGATGAGGGTTTTTTTATTGTGATATTATTTTCATGAATCATCCGTTATTAGCAGCAAAATATATTTTATCTATTTTAAGTATATTAGTAAAATTATAACTAACCGATTCAGGGATTTGTAATAAGATAATTGTGAGAAAGTTATGTCCATCTTACAGTTGCAGAAGAACACAGTGAAATAACACTACCTTTTGGTGAAGTTGTTCTGTCAGCGATGAGTAAAATAAAACATTTAAGTAGCTGGTTCTGTGGCATTAAAGACATGGTTTATGAGTATATATATAATTATTAAAGCCGTGACTTATTCATATAATATATGTTGTTGACCTCTTTGATAATTAGAACTTTTACTAACAATATCCATATTCCTAATTCAAATCACTTTTGGTCCCTAGGGACTAAAACAATATTTTGGTCCTATATATAATAGTTTAAACAAATAACGGTCAAGCAATTTTCGAAAAGATTTAACAAAAAGTATTTTAGCACCTACCGTTTTGCTCTGCTGAGAATGAATCCCTATCATCATCAAGTATGTCACAACTGGAATGTGACCTCAAAATGGTTATTAAGAAAAAAAAAGCTTTTGTTTCTTTTCAAGTACCACCTAAGTATTGCCACCTATTGTACTTGACTGATCAACCCAATATTTTTGTACGCTTGAAATATCGTTCTAATAAGATTTAATATTGCATAGCGATCGTCATGGTTGATATGATGATGACTGTACAGTTTTCTACTATACTAGATAATATTAAGGTCGAGACCTTCTAGATGTTATTAAAATTAAACTGAAGAAGAGGTTTTTTCATTCGGCACTTTTTGCTTTTTATCGAAATAATAGAATTTGAACTGTATTATTAAACGCATGGACGGATTCGATTCATAGAAACAAATGGACAACATATGGATTAAAAAAATTAAACTTCGTTTTGCTTCAGTGCCGACTATAGTTTAAATAATTTTATTTCATACTAACTAGCTTTTGCGCTATATTTACTTTAATATTTTGTATTAATTTTGCTGACCTTACCTAACAGACAGACGGACAATGAAAGCTTCCTTATAGAGTTCCGCTGATAACCTTTGGGCATGAACTTAAAATACCGCCAAAAAATAATAAATCTTTTTTATCTTCAGTGAAATTAATATTTGGAGTGGGTGACAGAGTCAGGCTAACCAAAGTAGCAAATGGGAACTCAGATCTATCAGACCTGCATGGCACCGACTACAAATATTAATTCGACTAAAGATAGAAAAGGTTTATTATTAACTATTCGGTGGTTTAATTCTTTTGTTAAAAATTTTTATTGTTAAATTTTTTGTGGCTTTCATTTTAGTAATATACAACTCGGCATAAAAATCTGTGAACAAGTGAACAATCAATCATCCCTGTTTTCATATCCTTAGGTTCGATATATTTTCTAATTCATATGGGACCAACTTCGGAGTATAACCTTTCCAATATAGAAAAAAATATCAAAATCAGACTACTCTGTAAAAAGTTATGCGTGATCATACATAAAAAAACAACAAATATGCGCGTCGACTTAAAAAAAAGCTCTAATTGAGAATAGTTATAACCGCAATAGGGATGATGACTAATTTTTTTTTCTTCGTTTATCAGGTAGAGTATCAAAAAGTATTGGACACGTATTTTTTCTTTTTTCACATAACATAAACATTGTAGAGATATATTGATTTGAAAAATCGCATGACGTCACGTTTTACTATTAAACAAGTACAATTTTCACACAAAAGTGACGTCACGAGCCCCTACTCCCAAACTTTGATGCGCTATAACTTTTTAATTTTTTGGTTGATTGTCCAAAGAAAAAATACGTGTCCATTATTTTTTGATCATCTAACTAACGGACTAAATAGAATTTCGTTTACTGTATCACGCCTATTGTCATGTTAGATTTATAAGTATAAATGTTAAATTTGCCTCAAATTATTTATTTAAGTTCTCAATCAGTTAATTGACAAACAAAAGAATAGAAAAAAACCGTCTCTTAATTACTCATTGGAACAATCAATGAAGTTAGTTAACCAAAAAAAAAACAATGAACTGCGAAATTGATACTTAGTTGATACGTATGCGGAAGAAAGATCGTTCTATTTTTAATTGCGAGCGTTGCGTTCCGATGCGCGCAGACATTGTGAATATTGAGAAAAAAAAAGAGTTGACAAAAAGCATGCGACCGCACCTGAACTCGACAGCCTAAATACAAGTGCAAGGTCGTGTTATTTCAAGCAAAACGAACTAATAATTTCATTGAAGCGAAAACAAAACTGATTAGCATTTTGAAGTGCTGTTGCAGTAACCCATCGTCAGCCTTTAAATGTCCCCACTGCTGGGGCACAGGGGCACAGGGCTTCTCTATGGACGGAATAAGAAAAAAGGCCACGAACCACCCAAACCGGAAAATGGGTATTGATGGGTGCTAACCACTCTAAATACAGCCGGGACCAACCACTTTACTTTACTGTAAGAGACAGACAGACGGTCGGAAAAACTAAGCTACCAAAGTTGTTAAACGTAATTCTCTTGACTGATATGATGTTAGAATCAATTTCTGACATCATATCAGTCAAGAGAATTATGTTTAAATACTTTGGTAGCTTAGTTTTTCCAACCGTCTATCTCTTATACAAACTCACATTCGAATTTAAGGATATTACTTAACTAAGTATTGAATAGTAATTTCAAATTAAAGAGGAGCTCAATGGCGCAGTAGTTAGTTCATTCTGCGATCGTGCAAGCTAATCAAGTTTCACAATGACCAATAATAGGATTGCTGACCAATAATTCTTATCACGAGCACATATGACTTTGGAAGGCACGTAAAGTGGTTGCTCCCGGTAATTCAATATTCATTTATTCAATCTAGGCTTTTACAAGCACATGTGGGAGACCTTGTACTAAGAGGAACCGGCAAGAAACTCAGCAAGGGCTGCTTTTTTCTCCCTGTTTTATTTCATACAGTGTCGTCTAATTTAAATCTGAAAATCACGTTTAAGTACATCATCCTCGAACAAGAACTTCTGATATCCCAATTTATTACGAACAACCTCTTCACTCAAATATGTTGTCAGTTGTCACAATGATTGTGTTCTCCCCGTATTGTAATCATTGTAGGTAGAGCCTTGTCTAGTTAGTTAATTCGAAGTAGTTATTATGATGGTGCACAATGGCCGCACGCAACCGCGGCCACTAATCACGTCATTGTCATCTGGGTCACTGGAGACTGAGGAAGGAGAATAATTTGAAAAAGTAAGAACAAACTCATATTTGAACTCGGAATCCGCGGTGTGATTTAAAATTATATTAGTACAAAATATATATATATATAAAACTCAAAGGTGACTCACTGACATAGTGATCTATCAACGCACAGCCCAAACCACTGGACGGATCGGGCTGAAATTTGGCATGCAGGTAGATGTTATGACGTAGGCATCCGCTAAGAAAGGATTTTGATCAATTCTACCCCCAAGGGGATAAAATACCAAAGCGAAGCGAGGGCGGACTACTAGTTTCATATAAATTTCAAATCACACCGGCGAATTCCGCGGTGAAAAGTGAGTTTGTTTTTACAGAATAGCATTTTGAAGTGCAGTTGAAATAATCCATCATCAGCCTTTTAATGTCCCCACTGCTGGGGCACAGGGGCACAGGGCTTCTCTATGGACGGAATAAGAAAATAGGCCACGACCCACCAAACCGGAAAACTGGTATTGATGGGTGCAAACGACTCTAAATAAAGCCGGGATCAACCACTTTACATGCCTTCCAAAGCCATACATGCTCGTGATAAGAAATTATTTATTTCTTTTATTCTTCATGCACATACTGTACAATGGCGGACTTAATGCCGTAGGCATTCTCTACCAGTCAACCATAGGGTGTTCTGAAGATTTTAGTAGTAGGGTGCACAACTGAGGTGGAGATCACATTTAAAGAAATATGAATGTAGTACTAATATATTATAATAATATATATTAGTAAATATACACAAATAATATAACTCAAAATATACACACATACTTCATATAATACATACATGACGAAAAACTACTTAACGAAACGCCCGTTCCAGTAAAAAGCTTGGCAGCAAGAATTCTGGGTTCTCAATCCTGTGATTGGCTATTGTGAAACTTGATTAGCTTCAGTACCCATCAGTCAGAACCCATTTTCCCCCCTATTTAACCTTTTTTAAGTTTTAGACTGCTTCTAATAAATGCATCTCATCTTTAGACGACCTTCATGGTGGCGTGATATGTACACCGGTTTTCAAGGTGTCACCTACCTACTCAACGGTTCCGGGTTCAAAAACTGTCGAAGCAAATGTTTGTACAATGAAAACTGTCAAGCAAAACTCTTTTTCTCATAAACGCGTGGGAACACTGGGAACTGCTAGCTGAAAACAATATTAAAAATTCAAGTCTTCAATCCCAAGGCATTCGCACTGCTCCAAGGAGAAGATCAAACTTCTAACTCAATGCAATCAAAAGATACGGCTGTTTTTAAAATGTTCACTTTATTTGCCTAAGGCGTGTCGTCCTAATTGGCAACGATCGTACGATGACACGATACGATCACATTCGTGCAATGAGATCGTATCGTGTTATATGATCGTTTCCAATTATTCTGACGTTCACAAGAGAATCAATTTCTGTAGGGTACTTTCCCTTGATCTATAATCATGAAATTTGTAAAGCAGCAATTCCATGTTGCACAAGGAATCATAAAAAACTTATATTTTATTTGATGAATACCTGAAATAAAAATAATTCATTTCTACCCTTTCATATTGTTTCAGATAAATAATTCAAGATGTTTCAAGGAGGCATTTGGTCGAAGCTCCAGAAATACTACAAGTGGTACGTGCTCGGTCTGGTCTCCATCGGTTACATTCTAGGGGAGCTGGGGCACTACCTTATTGGTGAGTACAACTTTTTATCATAGTTTTATTTTAAGCATTACAGCTAAATGTTCAAATCTAAAATAAAATTTACTAGATAATCTTAAAAAGCATAAACCAATAAAGCTTTTTTATGTTTAGTCAAATTAATTAAATTTGGTATTGTTGCCATGCAAACCTAAGTAGTAAATGGAAACTCAGATCTATCAGACATGCATGGCAGTGACTCCAAATATTAATTTGACCAAAAATAATAAAGGATTAATGGATTTTTACTTTTCCGCGGTTTAATTTTTTTGTTACAAAGTTTTTATTTTATATTTTTTTGTGGCTATAATTTTTTGAATAAACAACTTAGCATCAAAATGTATGAGTGAAAAATTATCCCTATTAATTTGACCAAAAATAAAAAAGGATTAATGGATTTTTGCTTTTCGGCGGTTTAATTATTTTGTTACAAAATTTTTATTTTATATTTTTTTGTGGCTATAATTTTTTGAATAAACAATCCAGCATCAAAATCTGTGAGTAAAATCACATCACCATTCCACCCTTAGGGAAGAATTTTTGTTTCTAAGTTTATCTGGAACAAAAAATAATCATCAAAATCGGACTACTGTATAAAGTTACGCGTGGTCATAAATTACAATCAGTGAGTGAACAATCAATCATCCCCGGTTTTCCTACCTTTAGGATCGGAAAAATCTTTCTAAATTTATATAGGACCTACTTCGGAGTATACCCTTACCAATAAAAAAAAGAATTGTCAAAATCGGACAACTCCGTAAAAAAATCAGCGTGATCATACATAAAATATTTTTTTAGTAAGTAAAAATAAAAGTATTTTTTTTTTGTTTACTTAGAAGTAAATAAAAAAATCATTATTCTGACGACTCATTCCTGCAAAGGATGCGAAACGTCAATAAATAAATAAAATTAGTGCATCGAACCCGTTGAAACTTGTTTTATTTAATGAGTGATGTACGTGAAAACCTTAGAAACAAATATATTTATTTTATTTAATATTTAATCACTATTGAGCATAATTGGTTAGTGAAAAAAAATACTTCATGTATAAAAATAATTTCTTTAGTGATAAAAATAAACGACGAATCAGTCGAGAGCGTTTGTATGGAAAATACATTGGCCGCGTCCCCTCTTAACGGATGGTAGGGAAAAGAATATAGACGATTAAAAAGAGTTGCATTTTGAATTTTTAGAGTTTTATTATATATGTTACGCTCAAAGATCGAAAACGCTCAGTGAGCGGAAAAATAGCTCACAACGCGTTGTGGTCACAGTAAAACATCCACATAGCGACATTCGTGTTATGGCTAACAAGCTATTCTTCATTGCCACAACGCGTTGAAATCGAATAGCTTGTCAGCCACGACACGAATTTCGCTATTTGGTCTTTTTCTGAGCGTTTTCGATCTTTGAGCGTAACATATACATATATATTTTTAGGTACATACAAAGATTAAGGACTGTTTGTTAACTTATTCGTATAGTACGAGTATTACCCACTATCTTCCTTCCGCGACTTCGTGCACGTTATAGTTAGTTTTTTTGAGAATCCCACAGGAACTCAACATTTTTTCGGGATAAAAAGTATTTTGTGTTTCAATCCAGGTCACAACCAAATATCATCTAAATTCGTTCAGTAATTTTTGCTTGTTTGAGTAACAAACATACAAATATACTTTCAAAATTTCACACCTTTCAAAATACTTTCAAAAAAATTTAAGTAGAATGGGATACACTTAAAAGTTGATTATTTTCATGTTTCTTAAGTTATGTAGTTATACTTTTAATATTTTATTGTGATTTCCCAAAGTCAAGCATTACATGTGTGTAAGGATCTACCTGATAATATGTGTTAATTTAAATTACTTAAAACACTTGGATAATCATATGCAAAACAAAGTTTACGTTAACACATACTCATATTTAGAGTCTTGTGATCATTACGCAATCAATCATCAGAATCATTATAGATCATAATATTTTTTTATTGAGCACATATGATGCCATCGAAATGTAGATAAAAAATCTGGAACCGGTATTCATCCTCGGTTTTCTTTAAATGTATCATTAAGTAACGAAGTTGAGTTTATTATTGGTGTGAAACAAACATCTATTGCGGCGGATGTATCAAAGCCATTTTTTTTATTTTGAAAGTACCGTTCGTTAAATGATTACTCAGATAGACTGCAATATAATCTGGACATCTTCAAGGCCAGAGTGAACAGGCATCTTTTAGACAGGCGTGTACCATCCTAGGCCTCATCATCACTTTCCATCAGGTGAGATTGTGGTCAAACGCATTGCCTATTATGCATAAAAAAAAATAAGTAAAGATTACAGTTGGCGCCGAAAGCAATTATTAGTACTACCTTTTTTTGTCTGGAAAATGCCTTACGCATGCATCAACCACTGGGGGAGCGAGAAGAAGGTATGTGGGACTCCTCCCTGTCCTCCTCAGCCAGCCCTGGAGCTCGCTGATGTGAACAGGGCCCTACATACGCCCTGAACAGGGCCACTAAAAACCAGTCAATACTCTTGCACTGTCACCCGACACGCACTATGAGGACCGCGGTCGCCCTAGCGTGCTGAGAGGGGTGGTCGCGGAACCCGCCTCCGAGTGGCCGCGCAATTATTAGTACCCCGGCAAGCAGTAGCCAGATCATATGTAATTTTGTTGAGAATATATATATATATATATAAGCATGTAACTGCTTGATGATTAAATCTCGAGTTCGGTTCGAGTCCCGTCTGCTGCCTGATCCGCGTGGATTTTTTTCTAGTTATATTTTCTTTAATTTGTTTGTTTTGTTGTTAATCACGTTTGAGAGGAGCGGAGCCATTGCTTCAAACTCTCTCAGTCATCAAGAACATCTTTTAGTTTAACCTCCGATGCTTCATCAAGAGGATTTAAATGAGCAAGAACTTTTGTGTGTTTCTTCTTGTATATTGTATAATCTCTTGGCTAATTATTGACATTTCTTGTATTTTAGTGTTCCTGGTGTACCACGTGACACCACTGATAGTTCTAATGTTGTTTTGAACCCCTTGGAGGCACTGCAATTTAGAATCAGAAGCGGTAACCCACAGCTGCATAACATAGATCCATTATTGGTTTCAGAATAGCACAATACATCATGAGTTTGTTATATAAGGATGCCAGTACCCAAAAGCCATAACAGAAGTCTAAATCTATTGGTGGTGGTCAGCCACTGGGGGGTCCGTAAGACTTGCGGGTACCAGGTGTGAGGTCCGTTCGGCGGTGTGCCTCTTAAAGGCGCCGTTGTCTGTAAACAGCATTTTTTACCGGCGTTAAAAAAAAAGGTCATGCAGCGATGAAGGTTTAAGCTCAGTTATTTAATACGTTTTAAATACATAGGTAACCGATATTGTATCCACTCCAAATTTGACCGGTGGACAGTCGCTTTTTTATATATATAGCTCCGACAAATGACTCCACCTCACCTGATGTTAAGTGAAGGTGAAGTCTAGACATGAAGATAGCTGGTACAGCAGTCCTACCTGCCAGCCAGCCATCCTCACGTTGCCGGCCTGCATGTTGCTTCTTCGCGCCTCTCTTAAAGGATCTCAGGTTGTAAGAAGGAGAGAACACGTGAGCGGGCAGAGCATTCCATTTACGGATAGTGCGACAAAGAAGTGGTAAAGGTAATGAGATTTGGAAACACTTGCTTTGATACACCATTTCTTTAACCAGACTGCGGTTGTATCCAGTTGGTCCTGTAGTTCTGCACTTGCCATGTTAAGGACAGAATTACACGGGAGAATGCAGGATCATCCGCAAAACTTGCAACATAATAATAAACATTTATTTCAGGCGTAGTACCCATATTAGATAAAGAAATAGAAAATATATATATAACAAAATTAAAAAATAAAAATACATATATTTACAATTCATTTAAATTAAAATATAAATCAATCATATACTTTAGGGGATTGTGGTAGGTCACAGGTATAATATTATAGAATATCGAACCAAGGATGATTATTGCCGTGATTTATTCTAATAATATCAGATCTTACCATCTACTTACTTTATAAACTGGCGCTTTTTATATTTATAACTAGCGCCCCGCCCTCGCTTCGCTTCGGTGTAGAGCTGAAGTGAAAACAACAGTTTTTGTTCTCATGCTTGTATTATACACAATGACATTCATCTATAATTCTTCTTATACCTGTATGCAAAGTCTCAGCCCGATCGGTTTAAAATTGACAAAGTTTCATACAAACTTTAATTCCCTATTTTATCCCTTTGGGGGTAGAATTGATCAAAATCCTTTCTTAGCGGATGACTACGTCATAACATCTACCTGCATGCCAAATATCAGCCCGATCCGTCCAGTGGTTTGGGCTGTGCGTTGATAGGTCACTATGTCAGTCAGTCACCTTTGAGTTTATATATGTATATAGATTTGCTTAAATTGCAGCGTGTGATCAAAAATAAACCATTGGTTTTACTAAATACATAAATCATTAAAACACCACTTAACCTATTTATTTCTTGGTTCACGATCATGCGTGCGTACTTTTCATACATTGACAATGGACAATACATCATATCTCTTAATTATTAAACTTGAGTAGGTAATAAAAACATTATTAAGAACAGGTTTTGTATGATTACGAGGCAAAAACCTTCCTACATAGTAAAGGACACGTTAATAAAAAAAACAGTTTTGAGGCGTTAAATGTATTAATTACTTAGTTCAAGTTTAAATATCTACGAAGTTATAGTAGTCAATTAAAAAAATTTGAATGACATACTTAATTATGTATAAAGATTTTAACAATTAAAAACTCCCAACTTCTCTATATTACGCATTGAATAACACTAGAAACGTGTAGGTAATATTATTTAACTCTTATCATTCGATAAAAAAAATTAAAATTAAGAAAATCTAATAATAATAAAAATCTAAATAAAATACATAACCTACATAGAAACAATTTCTTTTTTTTTAAGAAAAAGGAAGTTG